GAGCTAATATATAATCCCGTTATAGAAATCTTCTCTAAACGAAATCTATTTCCTGACTACCTCTTAGTTATAAAAATTATTGTTGATGATTTACATAGCATTGAGTATCTCTTTAATATTTTCTGTGGCTACTAAAAGTACCGTATCTATTACTCCTATTAATCAAAATTGCCTCGTCTGAAATCCAAATGGATTGTAGAAGACAAAATAACATAAACAGATAATACACTTCTGATATTAGTTGAATTCATTTTAATTATTTGCCTGTGAAAATTATTTTAGACTTTAAATACTTGCTTAGTACTTTTTACTGAAACAATTTAATGTATTGCTTCATAATACAATAGCATACAATCGTTAATAAATCCGAATGGTCTTACAAATATTATATAAGTCAATAAATCTGTTATTTCTACATTCCATGAAAACTAAAACACATTTGACAATAGTAAAAAATCAAAACTGTTTCTAAAATCAGATCGCAATCTTTAACTACCTACAAGCAATTTCCTTTATGAACTAAAATCTATATGCAGTATTCAATCTGAATACAAAAACTTAAGCAATGACGTAGTGAACACTTTCGGACACAATGCATTTTTAAAATACCGTAATTTGTTATATGATATTTCTATAAATAAAGCAAGTACGTTTTAGTTTACATAATAATAAGTATTTTCTCTAACTACCCCTTTACGAATTAGTATCTATAACCAAGCTACTCAATAATGTCAACTAAAGGTTTCTGCCCACTACAATGTATCATAACCATGACCATACGAGAAACGTACAATTGGCAGCAATGTCTTGGTACGACACGGTGTAATGGAAAAGAACCCTAAAAATTAGTATTCTCATTCACATTACTAGCTAAATTGTTATTAAATTCTGTTGAAACTAATCATCTGCAGATTTATCGAAATATTAAATAAACAGATAAATATAATATAGTTTACAAAAATTCGGAAGTCTTAATTAATTATTTAATTGATAATCGTAATTAATTAATATTGATTTATATGCTTTTAATTGTACAACACTACTACATACTACGAATTTTACATTAACGTAAATAAAGTAGGCATTTGAAGCAAATAGGTCCATGAATTCTAAGCCGGTATAACTAACATTATTACTTTAAGAAATGTGGCGTCTTTTATTAAATAGAATCAACTCATAACGATAAAAGAACATTTGTGCATACACAGATGTCTAGTAAAAAAGGATTCATTGTCAGGTTAAAATAACTGTATATTTGTTACTAAAATAAGATTGATAAAACCAATTTCAAAGAGAGATTGGGATACAAGTTTTTAATCGAAATACTATACCTAACACACACGGTCATGATATTTATAATGTATAAATAAAATAACGTTTTAGATGACTAGATTAAGTACTTTTCAAATACATACATTCAACAAATCTCACATATTTAATCTCATTATAATTTCTCTTGCGTATCGTGTTCCACCCCTGTCGTGCATAATTTATTGTATGTATTAGCAGGGTTCGTAATTATCAAGATAATATTTTTATAATAATCATGATAATTATCCGATAAATATCTATCATTATCTATAGTCACTGGCAATAAATATTTTTTTTTATTTAGAAAGGGTTTAGAAAATTGAATCAACTTGAATTTTTTGTTTTTGTATGCCTAACCTAGACAATTTTCTCTATCAGAAAAACCATATCTGATAGATGATTTAAAGATGATTCACCCTTAATAACAAGTCCTTAAGTACAAAAAGAGTTTGTGTAGCGTTTTATAATTGTCGCGATAATTATAAAATAGATAAATATATCATACCAGAGTCCCAGTGGGCGTCAGGCTCGGTGTCAGGATCGGAACATGAGGAGGCGGACGAGAGCGGTGAGGGGGCGCGCGGGGCGACGCCACTGAACGTCGAAGATTCCGGTTGCTTCTGCACTATCACCTCCACCTTTTCATGACCACAATACCACATCACTATCATTGTCAGCTTTATGTCACAAGGGCATAGGTCTTCTCTTTGGAATCACATAGGGAAAACGGGCTATTAGCTGATACACTTGTATCTATAATCGCGAGAAATAATTAATTGAAAAACATATACACTTAATTTAATACATTTTTAAATAAACACAGCTGAGTCAAAGTAGAAAAATAACTGTTCTAGGTTGTCGTGGATCTGGGTGTTTGTAACTTTCGTTATTTCAGATACTCCATAATACATAATATACAGAGTTTTTAGCTATTTATCTTGAAATCTGAACAACGTATGCAATGTTGTATAAAAATTATATGTTTTGATGGCACTTAGCTAAATAATAATTACACATTACCTTAAAATCGGAACTGTATATTTTATGTTGCTTGTCCTTGTGCGCGTCGTCCAGTTGCCATTTATTTAACGTTAACTTAAACGTCTCCTGATTAGGACCTGAAAATAACACATAAGACTCAAAACGTTTTTATGTACTTAGACGTTTCCCTTTACTACTCATCTCCCAATAGGGGTGTAGACGACTTTTTTAAATATTTTTATTTTAAAGATGTATGTAAAAATATATCATTCATATAAAAAATCTAAATATAAATTTAATTTTCAAACCTGCGAAATAGCCAATACTGTCATGACGTCGCTATAACGTCACGGCCCTCTGAAACTAATATCGTTCTATGTATGCATACAGTTAAATACTCTAAGTTCTGATAGGAGTAAAAAGGGCGTGACGTCATGCGCTGTTTGCGGTTACTTGACACTGAGTATAAAATATTAGTTTTTTCATAATTAAATGCGATTATCGATAATAGTATATTAAACACTACAAGAAAAAAAATCGTTTACTGTCTATACCCGTATTGAGGCACGAATAACGATTATGTTATGCTAAAGAAATCGTATTGACAACTGAAATCTTACAGTCTCACTGAAATTATTCAATAGCAGCTGCTAAACAATATAAAAAAGAATCTCACTGAATGTTGTTGCTCATTGAAAGAGCAAGCAAAAATCTTCGATTAGGTCCTGCCATAACTTAAATGATAAATATACAGGATAATTTATAAACAAGATTTAGCTGCGCTCACGAGATGCCAAAAGATAAAAGTTTTTACTAATGGATATCCAAACATAACAAATAGATTTACGACAAAACTACATCACATGGAAATGAGAATTTTCCTGTTTTAAAATTTTACCGTGGCATCGAAAGGGATAGCAACGTTGTGACGAAGGACGCCGGGGCCACTGTGACGTACCGCGGGTTCAGGCCGGACAAAATTTACTATTAACAGTATTATTACAACCCTATTATGCCTCTCCTTTTTTGTCCACAATAATTGATATGAACATCGTGTCCAAATCTACAATTTTGATAGACACAATAACACTTCAACTGGTAATTGAAACGTGTATGTGACAGCAGGAGCGGCTAAGGAATAGTTCGAGGTGACGAGGCATGCTGTGACAAGACGTTGGAATGGCGTGATATCAAAGCAGTTAATGTGCGCTGATTAGCGGCAAAATCTGTTGGCATCCCGACCCGATCTGCGTAATAATTTTGACATTGGAGCGATAAATCATATGTTATTTTACATGAAATTAGAGTGTGAAAAATATCCAAAAATAATAGCGCAAGCCATGTTATTTATGATGGTTATTATCTAGTGCGGCGGGATTGTTGGTCTTTAACAACTAAGCCTGTATAAAAAAATACATGTCATAAACGAACAAAGGTTACGGTTCTCACTGTCAGGCGGCGACGGGATCCGCACAGCGCCCACGCCGGCCGCAACAAAGAATGTGTTGAACCAGAAATGGAACAGTTTCTCCTTGCGCATCATCTTCGGCTTGTGGTGAACGTCGACTCGCACGTCACCACGCAATGGTGTGCAGGCCGCTAATGAGACACGCGCCGCCCCTGCCCCGCCCCCAGTACCCCCCGTCCCACCACCGCGACGTACTTCCAGACATCCACCCGGTACCTAAAACACCCGACAGACAGTCGAATCAATATATCGCTTGGATAAAAGCAAGGGTACTTACGATTCGTAAAGGAGCTATTGACTAAAGAGGTGCGTACGCATTGGTCGTAGGTGATCGGTCGACAAATAACTAATACCAATAAAACAACAACTTCGGAAGACCACTGCCATCTGTTGCAAAGAAGTTTCTTTACATTCACTAGTAAGGGTAGGGTCGTCGACGCTTTTTCGCTATATGCAACAAGACTGTATATCATTCTCATTAACTAAAACGGTTTTACTACACTATTTTAAAAAACAAAACTAGTTTAAAAAGCTGGTTTCTTTTCGATTACTTTATGTCATAGACTGAACGGAACACGAAGTCCAGGCAAAAAAGTAACTAGTTCAGCTGTCACATTTACTCATTTAAAATTCTCACTCAAAACTTAATTTTACTATTTTCTCGGGCTTTCAACATTGGGCTAACCTAAGTGGTGTATATTGAGCGGAAAAATAGCTCACAACGCGTTGTGGTCACAGTGAAACATCCACATGGCGAAATTCGTGTTATGGCTCTAATGAAAACGCGCACGACGCGTTTTGGCAATCACAGAAAGACCAAATAGCGAAATTCGTGTCGTGGCTGACATGCTATTCGATCTCAACGCGTTGCGGCAATGAAAAAAAGCCATGATGCGTTCTGAGCATTTATTGTAAGTAAGCAAGGGTTTATAATGTGCCACTGCAAAAGATACTGTATTGATAAAAAGTGCAAGTGTCGCTCCAAGAATATAAAATGCAACTCCAAATGCCACAGTAATAGTTCCTGTAAAAATAAATAGCAATCAAATACTTATTTTAAGTACATTATTGGTGTTTATTGGTGGACAATAAACATTTATGTTTGTGTTAAATATTTTTATTACTTGAAAGAATTTAAATTGTCATAAAAAAATTAAAATCCCTAATTATTTTAAGTGAATTGTAAGAAATTTACAAATGATTACTTATTGTGTAAGTTGCAGTATATACTTATTGTGTATACTAAAAAATTGTATGATGTTCAAGTATTTTGATGAATTTCTCAGCGTCAAAAAAAGCACTACGTTTAGCACTAAGTTTAGCACGATTTTGAGTTAGAAATTAAAAGAAGCTTACTTTGAACGGTGGTTGAGCCTGCGACACTGTAAGCTCGAGCGTACACTGCCCGCCGTTGAGCATCGGCGGCGGTGTCATCACCAACTCGCGTATGTACACTTTAGTCGCCGTATACTGCAACCTTGACCGGACCAGCGCTGCATAGTACTCAACATACCGCCTCTGAGACGGTATCGTTACACCTGAAGAAAACAGTTAATTTTATTTCATAAAGTACTCTCATATTTGAAAAAATCGCAGATATATATCCTGCAGGTGTATGAAATGTAATGACCTGATATATTCAGATCACTACGTTTGATAAATGCAATTAGCAGATTCAATGCACATTCAGTCACAAATAAATGAAATAAACAAAAAAAATAAAATCGTATTATGATTATACCGAAATTTATAAATTCCTTAATACATGTCTTTTATTTAAATATTAACTTAGTTTCTTCTACAAAGAACCACATTCCTGCTTAGTTGAAAACTAAAACATTATATTCCTTTTTATAACTACTTTGTCATACCAGAATAGCATTAAAATTATATCATAATCGCGACCTCGTATCGTATTTTCACAAGAAGCCAACGTACTGCGTGCATCTCTATTAAGTTACTTTGTTGCGCTATATAAATCATTCAGTCCCTCACGCCACAAAGTCACATACATATTATTTATGTCGAGCAACATCGCCTAGTTTAATGTGTTCAATGACATACCTAATAACAGATCCAATAAATTTGACGTTACAGAACTTGGTGCAACTACACAAAAGTGCACATCTGACAGTACGGTTGCAAATGGTGCTACAAAAATATCTAGTTAAGTTCTGCGCGTAGTATAAAACATCTATTTCATTACTGATTTGTGTGCTTCATTATTTATCTACCCACCCAAATTAAAAAAAAAAATAACTCATCAGGTGAAAGAGCCATCAAATTCAGTTAATGGCAAACCAGGATGATATGAGTACGATGTTCTGCACATCTACCCCACAGCCACATGCCGGTGAATTCTTCCACTAACATCAGTACTCAAACCTTGGCAGAGGCCGTGGCCAGTTCTCTGTCGGTTCAGCTGGCATAGTCATATTCGTTTTGTTCAATATTAAATTAAGGGTAATCCGATAAGACACGTTTTAATTTAAGTCTATGGTCAAGATATTTGTGAAATTAAGCAAAAACGCTAGCAATGCGATTTGACAAAAATATTTTTCGCTTCGCTTCGCAAAATAGTAGATGCTGTCTTCGCAGTTGTTTAGCATTTTCTTGAATTAGTCGCTTTTGAGATAAGTATTGTCACTTTTTTTAAGTTTTAAGTCGGCTCTATTTTTCCAATTTTTATTTCATGCTTTTTAGTGGTAACACTAAGATTATCAAATATCTATCTTAATAAAAATATTCCACTTAGTGAGTCTTAGAAAAGGAGATTTTGTTTATTTATTGGACTGATTTATAAAATATTTCATCTACGGGTAAGCTACATAGTACGCGGCGGACATAGGCTAATTTACGCAGGCGAAGTCGCGGGGAAACAGCTACTTTGATAGAAATTGGTTCACAATTCAAAAAGGAATTGACAAACATACCTAAACATATACTTTGATATCTACTATCAAATGTTTTTAGCTGAATCTTAATACGTACGGTATATAGTTAAAAGTATTTTGTTTTGTTATAAAAGGAAAACTACTTAGGGGCCATCCATAAATTACGTCACACGTTAGGAGGGGGGGGGGGGGTCGTAAAATCATGAATTTTGTATGACGTAATTTATAGACGGCTCCTTATGCGATTTCGATTAAACTTAAATGAGACCACCTCGGTCCATCAAGCTGTCGAATAAAAATAATTATGAAAATCGGTCAACGAGTGACGAAATATCGGTGAACATACATAAAAATAAAAAACAACATCGCCGTCGAACATATAACCTCCTCCTTTTCGATTTTGAAGTCAGTCAAAAAGGGGGTTACATGTTGGATCGGCCATTGTGCAACGAAGATATGCCCAATGCATGAGGTATGCGTTCGAGTCTCTACAATTCCTATTTGATGTAGGACTGCCGTATATAATTTGAAAATATACAAACTGTTTCTGTGTCTGTTTGCAATTTCAAAAACGTGCTTAATTCTGATGACTATATGCATTTTATAATCACAATAAAGTTTTATTAGGTGCCGACCCACCTACAATAAAGGTATACATATGTATTCACGATATTATTTTAATTGAAATAAATTAAAGACGCCTAAATCGTACATGATTTTTTCAATCAAATATTAAAGTCAATCATAAATACCACCAAAAGTTAAATTTCAATGTTCAAGTGAGAGTTACTTCGTAATTCTAACCTTTTTCGTCATGTGTCCTCTTCGTACCGTAAAACTGCAGAGCTTCGTCCGCTGTCGCTTTCTGCCCGCTATAAAGTAAATAGCAGCACACCATTGTTCCTGGAAACAGAAAACGAAGAATACAGAAAGACGTTGATATACGAGGCTCTCGTATAGAGAGCAGGTGCGCTAAAAGAATTTATGCAAATGGTCGAATAAAAACAGGAACACATATTTTAATATTACTGGTAAGTACTATGGCTTAAAACAAAAGGTTTTAATCTTGTATTACTATTTTAATGTAGATATATTATAAAATTTAACTCAGTCATCACTAACCTTTTTATCTTACAAAATAAAAACTTTATTTTAAAAATTTTATTCTCGTTGGCGAAGGGCATCTCTTAGATTGTTTTATGCTTAAAATTTTAGATAGTTTAGGCAATCTTGTTTTATATAACATATAAAATTATTAATTTTATTGTATTCTTTTAAGTGAGTAGTTTTAAGATAGTTTACCTCACTTATGTAAAATGAATACCTACCTATATAAATTAAATATTTTTGAAAAACTAATGGTATTCAATATATTATTCATATTTGTATGAATAAAAAAAAAAAATTATAGCGCTATATATACATTCAACATATTAAATATTTAAAAAAAATATAGCTACGTTTCTGATGTTACTACATTCATCGAATCCATATCGTCATTCAAAAGTTACAGTGAAATAAATAAACTCAAATACATACTTTGTCCGTTAACTTTTTAACTTTTGTTAAGCGTTATTCGCATAACGCGTTGATGTCGTTTCAAACAAATATAAGAAAAATGTAAACAATATGCCGACTTTTCATACAGAAGGATTTTACTTAACATTCAAAGCTGTCTTTTTGTTCTAATTCTATTAACTCAGTGAATTAACTCGATAGATCTAAATTTTGTTTATTTTTTTACAAAAATATTTTTTTACTAATGAAACTATCACTATGGTGATCTCTATTCTTAGAAATTAACAAATTTTACAATGTTTGCGCTACAAATAAATTACAGCATACAAAATGAGTCGCCTAACTTCGACTTACAAAAAAGTTTCAACAGTAAAATTTGAGTTCCCTCGAATTATAAAAAAAAAAACTGGGCGACTCTTCAATAAAAAACCATAATTTAAGTAAGGCGGGTTTTATGGGGGTACCGTTCACAGGCTTTCTACCGAAACGTCTTTTCAAATCTCCACGATTGACGCAACCCTATTTTTTATATCCCTACAAAAATTCAGTTTGAAAAGCATTTTTTTCCTAAATTTACGATTTCGGCGTGAAAGCGGGCACGAAGATAATGCACCCAATTATATGTCGTAAAGAAATTTCGCAATTACGACTGATGGTTTTGGGACCCATTTTGTTTGACAATAGGCCTTGTTCAGAAGGCAATAAATTGCCACGTGTAATTTGCAACCTTAACCTTTGTTAAAATTGAGACCATTATGTTAAGATTCGTGATCGGGTCATATTGTCAATTTCAAATTATTGAATATTTTCTACTAAACTAACTTCACATGATAAAACACGAATAAGTTGTTCTACTGACGCCATCTGTCGATAAATAATGGATGTCATTATTTCTCTTTTTTAGCAAAGCGGCAATTATATCTAACCTGCAGGACGAAGCAAATATAATCGATCTCATACTAAATATATGAAGCTAATCCGGGCTATATTCCGACTTAAGCAACACAGAGATGTAATTTTAAAGGGCATTGTTACTAAAACATTTTTTTTTAAATATATAATTACTTTTAAAACTACCCAAGTTTGTATTACTTATTGTATAACAATATATCTACAACAACAAATAATAAATAGACATCGTGGTTAAATTTTTCTATTGGTTTCAGCAGCCTTAGATCAGTCACACTTTTAGAAATGTCAAGAGAATATAAAGTGCTTAATTCAATGAACGTATGAAATAATTTCTATACTTACCAGTCCTGCCTTTGCCGGCCTTGCAGTGCACGGCGGCCACGTTCCTCGGATCAGCGTTGAGCCAGTTGTGCACATCCTCACAGAACAGCTGAATCAGTTCTATGTTGGGCGGCGTGTGATCCTCGAACGCGTACCTTTCCACCTAGAATCATAAAAACAAGGTTTTCAAATAAACTATATACCACAAAATGAAACGAAATGAGACAAAAATCTACCTAACATATACAAAAATGCACAGGTCGAAGGCGACATCAACATTACCTTGAATTGGTATTAACGTTTCGTGGCATAAGTGTAGTGAGTTTTGAAATGACATAGGGATAGAATATCGGAGACACGTATAAATCAAACAGTCATGTTTGGTGTTTTTATATAAAAAATGCAATCAATAGAATGATTGCATTTAAAAATGAAATCAATAGAATGATTGCATTTTTTGGGGTTCGCATTTTGACGGAATCGATCTGCTGTTCTGCCGTCAAAAGTTGTAAAATCTAATGTAAGCTAAATCAGTTAATTCAGTATCTAACTTTGGTAAACGAGCACTAATATTATTGAAATAACTTTGTAGGATACTATTATTTTACACAAAAGTTAGATAAGTTATTTTTTTCTATTAAAAAGTTACATTACACGGTATACGTCAAATTCTTTGTTACATACAATATCATACAACAATAATACATAATTAAGAAACAGATAGGTATATCAGTAGAATATACTATTACATATTAACAAGCAAACAAAAGAGTATTCCAGCCTCAAATTGTAAGCAAACATAGTATACAAAAGAGACAATTCGTAAGGCATCTTGACTTGACCTACAGTTGGCAAATTCGAAGCAACGGCCAAATTGTATGTAAATGAAATTCGCAGTTGTAGGGCTTCCGAGATTGATTACATTTCTAATTAATTAGCTTCTCTCTCACTGTTAATGTGCTGATCTAAACAGGAATGTACACTACAATTGTACAAAGACATTCGTATAAATTGATTGACAAATCGAAGCTAATAAACCATTCAGATTGAAGGACAATGAATTTAGAAATTAAACTGTTTATTAAGTTTTACACAAAGAAAAATATAATTATTCAGACAGAATCGAACAAAACCTGAAATCAAATAATTTAGTATTGTTGCAAAACCCACTTTAGCACATACATACCATATTTTTCTTATAATATTTTTTAGGATAATAAACATTAATATACATTTGAATATGAATAAATGTATGATAATTTATTCAAATAAAACCATGAAATCATAAAATAAAAAATCAAACATATTTCACAAGAATATAATGTGTAAAAAAAATATTCTCAATTTAAAATCAATAAGTGAAGATAAAGAGACAACTTCTTTAGGGACAATTATTTTTCTTAAACAATCTTCGTAGTAGAGAGACTCAAACTCTGGTATGTAAGTGTTGTCATCGCTGAGGTCCCGGGTACGATTCCCGGTTGGACCGAAATAAGCTTTTCTATATTGTCTCACGTTTGTGTTAGTGGTGCTTTCGTTGTCTCAGGTACTCCACAATACGAGTGCTTTAGCTACTCATCTTGGTATCTGAGCGATGTATGTGATGTTGTTCAATGTTTATTATATTTATTGTAAAATTCAAGTAAATTAAGTATTATACCTAAATTATAGATAAGTTATAAAGAATATTTGACTTGAAGTTATTACTGAAGGAATATACATATTAACAAAAATCTGGAGCCAACGTTTCAACGTAAAGATTTAACATAATTAAAAAATTAGGTGCTTATTATAACGTCTGAGTAAAATTAGTTTCTTATCATTTTCACTAAATTGATATAGGTATATCAAAATACTCACGCTCGTATACAATTTCTTACGCAATTCTCGCCAATATTTTGCAGCAAACGAAGTTTTTATATAACTATCGAATAATTTATACCTACTTCACTTTAGGAAAAGATTGGTCATAAAAATAATATTGAGCATTTTGGGATATGTCCAACATTGTATGAGACTTGATATCCTTAAACTTTTCACTAAGCAAACATGATTGTAACATGTACTGACTGGCCCATAATAATCGTGTGTTTGCTCACTACGATTATATGGTACTAAAGGCGCGCCATGATAACACCATAGCGCTTCCTTGTTGAATATTAACCTTTTTTACCGCAAATGCAACGATCACACAAACCTTCACACACTGTATTTGATTTGTGTGCAAAATATATATTTGAACAACCATCGACGCACCTGGTGCAGTCTAACTAAGTAAATCAGTAGAGCGCTTAGTAACAGATGCTATCATTGGTCATGGTAATGTTAACATATATTTTTTATTTATTTATGTCTTTGTATTTATATGCAAACATTAACTAAGGATCGAAGCGCAATGAATTATCAACTTCTTCGTGCTGCAAGCTTTCTTAGCTAAACTTAAATAAGGAGGTGTAAACTCAAAAACATTGTTTTTGTTTTCATAATTTCTCCTGCCATTGCAGGTCTAGATCATTATCTAGACGGGCACTGAGGACAGCAAATTGAATGTCTTTTATCTATTCTATTGAAATATTTTTATTATTGTAAAGTGCTGCATAATTACTTCGGCTACAAAGTGACTTCAATATTTACCTTAAAACTTAAAAAGGGTATTCTTTTTAAAAAGGGTATAATTAAAGGTACGTTTTAGCTGTGATAGACCCTTAACAATTATGATTTAGCTTCCTCATTTTCAATCACAGCTTGGACATTATTTGTTTGTACGAAACCAGTTGAAAGAAAACCAGAGGGCGCTCACACCACAATCATTTTGTGGTGTGAGCGCCCTCTTAAGGTCGTACATACCTAAAGATAAAGAGAAAAGGATATGAAATCAACAGGTCAGTCAATGGCATATGATGACGATGACGTAGGGGAGACCTAGGTGAGTTGTGACAGAGGTGAGTTGTGACAAGGAGGATTTCTCTCTACGTATTATAGTAAGCGAGATGGCATTAACGCTTGTTTGTCGTTCTCGACACGCGCTACACGACTCAGTACCTGTCGACGGTGCATATGGCACAGTTGCGTAAATATATCATCAGTGTACAAAAAATTACGAAAAGTAAGTTTTTCTTCAAAATATTATTTGAATATATATCATATCTTAGTATATGTGCATTGATGTGTTATTTTTTCTTAAGTTATGTAGTTATTTAAGTCTCAATACGTGGCACTGATTTTTTATATGGGCATCGTGTTTAGAAAATATGAATTATTATTCGGACCAAGACGTCATTTTGAACACCTAGGAGAGTTGTGACAGCCTGTCACAACTCTCCTAAGTTACTCCAAATTTCTGCTGGGCTATTTTTACATTTTTTTTATTAACTTTAGATGTTTGTTGGTGTGTTAGTAGCTACTTAAGGTGTATAATGGCATACCGCATACTTATTTTTTTGAGAATACCAAATAACTATACACGAGAGACTGACTAAGAATGTTAAGAAGCGTGTCTTAAGCGAAGAAAAAAAGAAACCTAAAAAGCAAAGAAGACTAATAAGAAGAATAGAACAAGTGATGAAGAAGATATAGAAAATAATTGCTTTTATTTGGTTTGCCTTGAAGCCTATGCAGACAACAGATCGAATGATCAGTGGGTCCAAAGCCTGGAATGCAAAGGCTAGGCACAGTTAGATTGTACTGGGGACGAACTTCATTACGTTTGGCATAATTGTGAATCTGATTAGATTCAGATTTAATATTTTCATTAACTAAATATTGTATCGCTTTGAGATCAATCATATTATTGTAGTATTAATATTAATACTATGTTGTTTTAGTTGGTAGGTATTAAAAGATGATTAATCAAATCAAATCAATCTTTATTGTTGATCGCAGGTTATATAAAGATATTGGATGCAAGGACTGAATAGTTACACCGTGATCTGCCTAAAAAGCATACAATATTTGTAGGTTAGTAATTGTCAACTAATCTAATCAATAACATGTTATGTCAAAAATTCAACTAATTCTTTAAGTATTTATACATTTACAAAGTACTGTCAGCTAGATACTCGTTTACACTATAATATGTTTTAGCTACTAATTATTTACAAAGTTTTCTTTTAAAAACATTACATTTATCCAGATTACGTATTGTTTTTGTAATTTTATCAAAAATTTTTGGAGCCATACAAAAGATACTTTTGTTCAACTGAGCTGTCTTAGAGGGTATCGTACACAATTTGTCTCGATGACGCAATCTCGTCTTATTTTCAAATAGTTGTTGATCCTGTTTGACAAAAATACCAACTTCGAATATATAGATTGATGGCAGGGTCATAATATTTAGTTTAATAAAATATGCTCCTAACACATTTTTTCTGGGCTCTAAAGGCAGTTACAGAATCAGTCGAATATCCCCAAAATATAATCATAACATATAACCGTATCGAACAGTAGAAACTACGTACGCGTGATAAGCTGTAAGGACCGTGCACTGATTCGCGATCCTGCACTGATTCGCGATCCTACTAAGTGCACAAGAATACTGGGACAACTTTTTGCAAACATGTTCAGTGTGTGTTTTCCAAGTCAAATATATTATTATAGTACTGATTAAAGTACTGGTTTGATAAAAAAACATGCTTGATTTATTTATGTCGTATGTAATGGTATTTTTATATCTTATAGCTTAAATACAATGATGTCACAACTTACCTCGGTACCTGTCACAACTTACCTCGGTGGTAGGAGAGTTGTGACAAGGGGAGTGGACTTGAATTTTGTTATTTTTTTCAGAAACTATTATACTTTAATTAATTTTAGTGATGGTTTTGAAAACAGAAGGAATGGCGCTAAACTAATTCACATGAGTCATAACTGTGGAATGTTTCTTAAGCGAGATAGAGCCCCTTATGTAAAAATTGTCACAACTCTCCTAGGTCTCCCCTACTGTCACACATAAACCGTAAAAATGAATACCTCGCAAACCATTACAAGTATGGTAAAAATTATTAATCTTAACCCTTGGGTAGAAAGTGAATAATATACTTATCAATTTCACCTACAATAAAAATGTATAATTACGAGAACAAATGGACAACAAGGTAGATTTTAGACGTAATTTGTTTTTTTTTTTCTATAGAGATTTTTTTATGAATTCACCAATCAATCCAC